TTTTCCAAGGTGAACACAGCCATGATGGTCGTGGTGGTCGCCAAGGGGCCTCGCCCGAGGTAATCAGGTCGTGGTGGGGGTGGAGGACAGTGATGAGCCTGCGGGCGTTGGGGGACTTCAAAGCCGAGGTGATCTGATAGGCCCGCAGACGCAGAATCATATCAGACCTAATTACAGTAGTGCCGGTGCTCTCCCAGTCCATCTAATTACATATGATAATGAACTGGATAGTATATTGCACGACTGGGTTGTCCTACTACATGCTTGTACAACAAATTAAACTAAACCACCTTAGATTGTGTTCGATTAGCAAATAGTTATTGATACAAGATGGGACGGTTCAGTAATTAAACAGGAAATTGTTGTTTGTGTGGAGTAAACCATTTCGGTATTAATTGAGGTTTGCTTAGTTAATCGATTAAGTATATTGATTGACTTTTCTTAAAATAGAATTCAAAATATATATGTTTTATTTGTAATGCCATGATTTGTCTTGACCGTGTAAACAAAGACATACAGGGAGGATTTATTTATGTCAAATACTTTGATACAGGTTAATTTTATCAAACGTCACGAGGTACATCTAAATATCTTGCTAATTATTTACACTACAAAAGGGATATTTGTTTTAGATTAAAAAGCACCAGAACTGTATATGAAATATAATTCTTTATCTACTACGTTGAATGTAAGTGTAAAGCCTCATTTGACAGACACGCACTTAAAATTAACCACGCTAATTGTCTCCTAAAGATTTAATTGATTACCTACCACTAATGTTTTACTAAATACTGTATATATATTTTTAATTCTATAGTTTGTATGTTATGATGATGGTTTCACTTTTACTAGATGTACCATAGAGTCTATGTTTGTCTGTTAGTTAGTATTAAGTGGTTGTCTGGTAAGACACCTGGACAAAAAGCCAATTATTGTCTTACATTGTTCCTACTCAATTAACTTTTCTTTGTTTTCACATTTGAATTTTCTCTTTTACTTGCTCTCACCACTACACCCCTAAGTAAAAGTTTGGTAGTTCTTGTTACATCGCATGCTGTGTAGATCTAGAATATCTATCTAACTATATTTTATTTAATTGAATTACTATCACATACAAAGGAATTTAAACATAAATTCTAGTGTGTCCTGTGTTTTAACTATCACTACAAACACGTTGAATAAATGTATACTATTGACTAACATTTAAGTACATAACTTGCCAGTTTTTAGGAAAGTACATTGCACGATATATAATAACAAATTGTAACAATAGGCTTATATAAAACGTTAACTTCTTCAATGCGCCCAGTCAATTCTATAACGATTGTCTCAAATAAAATTACAAACGTTTGCATTGTGATTGAAAATCTTTAATTTACCACGAATGTGTATCGCCTTTAACTATTCAAAACAACTTCCTTTAAAGTTTGTATACAGGGTGTTTGTGAACTCTCTCGAAAAAATTCACAGGATTATTCCTTGGGTTAATACATGAATATTTTACATTATAAACGTGGGTCGCCGGAGCCTCGTTTTCTGTCTGTCTGTCTGTACGTGTTTTTTTATAAATAACTTTATAACTCGAGTTTGAATCGAGGTACAAACTTTAAATTTGACACACTTGTGTATTTTAACGTGTTACACAAACATGCAAAATTTCATTTCGTTGACTATAGCCGTTTCAAAATGGCGGCCATCTAAAGTCTTTGACCTCAAATAACATGAAAACCACTAGAGTTACAAAAAAAACACAAGGATAACAAAATGTGGGAAATGTTATGCCAAATCAAATGACACCTAGATCTTAAAGATCGGACAACAAACAGCTGAGCTATAAACTTTTTAAATAATTAATAATTTCTTCATCTGAATCAAATCATCTGATCCTTTCTAAATTGTCACAACAATGTAAGACAGCTGGTTGGACATACGATTTTGAGATGATGATCACATGATTATTTTGAGTTATTAATTTTTTTAATAATTAATAATTTCTTTACTGGATTTTAATTGTTATTGTTTATTATTTGAAATCATCTGATCCTTTCTAAATTGTTACAACAATGTAAGACAGCTGGTTTGCCCTAACAACAACATTTAGTTTTTTTACTAGATGGTAAATGTATTAAGTGTCCTATTTTTACCTTAACTATTGAGATCTGTTTAAGGTTACGTAATGTACTCTGTATCAGATGATTTTAAAGAATAAACAATAACAATTAAAAGCCAGTAAAGAAATTATTAATTATTTAAAAAGTTTATAACTCAGCTGTTTGTTGTCCGATCTTTAAGATCTAGGTGTCATTTGATTTGGCATAAAATTTCCCACATTTTGTTATTCTTGTGTTTTTTTTGTAACTCTAGTGGTTTTCATGTTATTTGAGATCAAAGATTTTAGATGGCCGCCATTTTGAAACGGCTATAGTCAACGAAATGAAATTTTGCATGTTTGTGTAACACGTTAAAGTACATAAGTGTGTCAAATTTAAAGTTTGTACCTCGATTCAAACTCGAGTTATAAAGTTATTTATAAAAAACACATACAGACAGACAGACAGAAAACGAGGCTCCGGCGACCCATGTTTATAATGTAAAATATTCATGTTTTAACCCAAGGAATAATCCTGTGAATTTTTTCGAGAGAGTTCACAAACACCCTGTATATAGTATGTACCTTATTATCATTCAAACTTTATTTTAAAACTTACTCATGTACATCTTATATATGTACGTGCTCAAGAGTACGAGACATTTAGAATATTTAATCTTAACGATATTGCAAGTTACAATAAAAATACATGCAATCTAGGGATTTTGTGTTTGTATTGTACCAATGATTGTACTTAAAACAAAACGTACAAGCATCAGCTGAGTAGTGTACTTTTTTGGCCGCATGAGCAGATCCCCTTCAAGAAACATTTAGTTTGTGATTTACCTTACCGAATGACACTGAACAGGGCACAAGAAGCTTCTGTACAAAGCGGCATTCGTCTGGCATTGTGCTTCCTCAATTAACGCGCCTTTGTCTTACACATTTGCATCTTAATATCTCTGGAAACTTCTCCTGCTTTGTGGAGACATCTACAATTAACTGTGTAATGCCTGAGTCAAGTGTATTCAAAATTTTAAAATAGCTAAATATAAGCACTTTAGTTAGTAGATGCGACTCGCGTTTTCTTTGAACACAAAGTTTAAAATTCCCATAAAACAATTATCAAACTTATACATTGGTCAAAACCAAGTTAATTTCCTGATCCTACTTATAATGTAAGGCTATGACTTTCTTTTTTTTTGCTATGAGGAACAATCATGTTTGTGAATTGTACAATGTTAATTTGCACTAGACTTGCAAATCTAAGGACAAAACACCACAGAACCATGTGGAGATTTTATTCGTAAGACATTTCAACTTACCTTTTACGAGCTACAAAATAACTGATATTTATTTATGAACGCTAATTGTATAGTAGGACTAACTGTAATATTCGCTCCACTACTTTATTATAAAATTTAAAAAATAATAATAACATATCCACTTGTACGTTGGTCTCATCCGATGAGGGGGTTTTCCTTCAACAAATGTTTACTCTACTGGTGTCTTTTAACTGTAAAATCAAAGTAAGCTAGCTTCTCATGTTATTTTTGGTAAGCTTTCTTGTCATATCAACCATTTTACTGATTATTTTATTTGGCTCCGGTTGCCACAACCTACATTCTGCCACAAAGAATAGTCGCAGAGGCAATAATGTTTACTGTTAATAAAATTGTGGGATCGGTCACGCTATATCGTGGTGAGGTTATAAATCAAGAGGAGTTATTACTGGCCTTAACATGGGATTCCTTTGAGTTTTACTTATTAATGATTTACTACTAAGCTAACCCCTACAACACGGTGGTCGGTTATAAGATTTTACGAAAACTTCAAATACGCTCATGTGCATTTTCTCTGACAAAAAATATGATTGGATAGATGCGCAAACACACGTCAGTACTGCAGATTCCCAACTAATGTAGGGTGGTTGGTAAGATGCGGGCTTATTATCCGTAATTATATTATGCATAAATATACATGTAACTGAAGTTTTACTTATTTTCACTTTAGAAATTAGTTAATATTTTCTGACTACATCCCCACTGTGTACCACTCTTGTACCTCTTTTGTTTAAATGTAAATTCAAACCAATAAAGGTCCCCATCGAAAATACTATTTTAAATGAAGCTTAATAGGTGTTGAACGTAAAATCAATTTTATGTGCAGTGTCAAAAGTTTACAGTAATTATGTTCTGATAAAATGTCAAGAGGTACTTGAAATGCAGTTTCAATTACCCTAACTAAATGCATATCCTAGTCGTTAAAGGGGCTTTTGTAAAACAGCACATTGCAAATGTGTTTAGGAGACTAACGCTCAACGGCAACGCTCAGATCCTGGTTGTAGGGCTGCGGATTGTTTCATTAGGTTTAAGACGATTTCGTTCGCCGTCTGAAATGCAAATTGGGACGAAATGAAGGTAATTTCCTTAGAAATTAAGAAATAATTTCTTGCTAACAATTGTTGAGTTTCTCGTTTCTCTGGCGTTTACACAGAAATGGGCTTTAAACGGGTCGCCTTTTATAACCTCGATTGTAAAACCCTGGGAAGCCCCTTTTACCGGCAGTCAAAAGCCTCATATTTTTAAGGATATTGTTTCGATTTTATACTGTTATCTGTTTTTAAGGTATTTAATTTTTCATCAAACCTTTTGTAAGCCTTCATAACCAACAGAAGAAAATTATCTGGATGAAGCAGTAATTCTTAACCTCGATGCCTGAAACTTAGGCATTTTTTTATAATACTTAGATGCAATGTTTCCTGCATATACATAATATGAATAATTCTTTATTTTTTTTAATATTACAACAAATATACCTTACTAGTAATCTATATATAATGTTTATATGCATATTTGTGCAAGTGTTTTAGTTGACATACACTCTTGACACATTCCCTTGTTCTAGGTAGACTGTCGCGGTGACCGAACCCGTCAACGGTAGTGTGGTGAGTTCATAACAAATACTTTAAGATACTTGATTTCCAAACATTAATTCAATAATGGATAGCAAAAGATTGAAATCACAATAGTAAAACCTATTAGTCTTTCGATATTGGTGGTATAAAGTCAAGTTTTTATATAACTACTTAATTTATTTTTGTTTATATCAAACATCTCTGAACAGTTTATTTAACCATGTTTTTCAAACAACAAATATAATACTTTTTAGTACTATACTAACCATATTATACGGAAACATCTCTATAGAACTTCTCAATGTATTTTTGAATCTGATATGGTGATATGCGGGAGATATTAGTTTGAAATATAGTCATTGTGTTAAGTCCTAAAGAATATTCTTGATCAGGCGTAAACAGCTAAATGAGTTAATGTTTTTGAACTACAATATATCTATGGTACATCAAATCAATAAAAAAAAAAATTCAATTACAACAAAGAATATAGTATCATTATAGTTTGTCCCTTAAGACCTAGTTTTATACAGCTGCTATTCTACTGATACAATCATAGATATGTCAGTCTCCCAATTTTTATATTGTGAACATAAAACTTTAATCGAGTTCTATGTTAACATGATAACTTTTTTATGTTAATTTCCTATGTGTATGTTAATGTTGAGTTTTTTATGTTAAATATAATCGAGGGAGTGTTACATTTAAAAATATAGTTAGTAGGTTAGTATGATTACTAAATATGCTCTTAACCTTGTTTAATTTAAGTGTTTCCGATCGGTTTTCAGATAGCCTACTATTGTAAATTATTAGTTGCTACACTGAGTGTATGACGGATGTGGCTCAGCTGGGCTCAGATGCGGCACGAGCCATGTATTATTGATGGCTGTGTAAACACCCTAAGACGTAGTGCAAGCTGCAACCCGCCTCTTGCATTATATACCAAACAGTCTACCACACCATCCCTGGTAGACGACGACTGAGCGCATCTGTCAGTCCCCACGGACTAATGCTGATGCTGTTCTATACCTACACACTGCTATACCAAACAGTCTACCACACCATCCCTGGTAGACGATGACTGAGCGCATCTGTCAGTCCCCACGGACTAATGCTGATGCTGTTCTATACCTACACACTGCTATACCAAACAGTCTACCACACCATCCCTGGTAGACGACGACTGAGCGCATCTGTCAGTCCCCACGGACTAATGCTGATGCTGTTCTATACCTACACACTGCTATACCAAACAGTCTACCACACCATCCCTGGTAGACGACGACTGAGCGCATCTGTCAGTCCCCACGGACTAATGCTGATGCTGTTCTATACCTACACACTGCTATACCAAACAGTCTACCACACCATCCCTGGTAGACGACGACTGAGCGCATCTGTCAGTCCCCACGGACTAGTGCTGATGCTGTTCTATACCTACACACTGCTGGACCGAAAATTAATTTGTCTAAGATCGTTTGGTACGATCAACATCAGTGAATTGAATAATTTCACTAGGTCATTGCCACTTTCGGGAGTATTTCTCAGAAGTGTATAGAGGTAAAAATCATATATCAATTACTGTCATAGAATCTGGAAAAACAAAATAGGAAGAATATAATTTAGTAGACAGTTGTTAAACCAATATTTTGTACAATATTAATGGCCTATTTTCTAAGCGTATTACTTTAATTAAACAATATTGTGATTTGCAGACCGTTAAAACATTAAATTATGTATTACAATCACATATTATTTATCAATTATTTATTTATGAATCGTGTTATTTTTGTAATACGAAAGGGAATTTAGAATTATTCTTTTTGGCGCCATCAATAAATCTAGTTTATTGCATAAAGAGCTACGTTGTTCTTTCAATGACATAGAGCTCAGCGAGTTAGTATGCTGAGGACTTGTTAAGACCACATAGTCGTAAAAGACTTTTATTGGCAACATTTTTTAACATGCGGACGATGAAGCATTCGTCTTTTGGCACCGAGTCCGCAGAAAATTTAATAAATGGCGTCAGAAAGAAGAAATAAAGAACATTTCAGAAATTGGTAGAAACAAATCCTTGGAAACTGTACCAAATCTTATGAGTATTACAGTCGGATGTTTGGAATTTATGACGAAACCGGGGTCTGAATGTTAATTTCGGAACTTGGCATAACACGAGAAAAGTTTACAGACAAAGAGGACCCTGTGCTGGGAAAATATCATCGGTATTCTTCCATATTGCATTTAAAAATGATATTAAAGTTATTTAGAGAATCATTTGTCAAAAATGTGCATAAAGAAACCTCATTGCAGTTTTATTCTTGAGAATACACAAAGGAACTTTGATGATGGCTTGACAGTGTACACCTAGCTAATTTAATTTTCAGGTATAGATACTAGGTGTGCGATCTCAGGTCCACCAATTGGGCGGAGTGAACAAAATAACAAAATAATTAACACACAATCTTTTATTCTTAATAAAAATTAATAAAAAAATAGACTACAACATAAAAACTAAAAAAAACTTTAATGATCAATACAATACTTCATCATTCGAGGGGAACACCTAAAGTAATGTTCAGCTGTTTTTGAGTTAATTGATACATAGTTGGCATAAGGTCCTATCTCAAAGAGCTTCACTCGCTCCGCTCAATTAATGTCTGTTGATAAAATAGCCTAATAAAAACGTCCATTTAGTAAAAAACACCGAACGTTTCACTAGAATCTAACGTAAGTAAGTCATGTTCCGTCTGTTTTTAAATGAAGTATAGTATACTGTATGTATATTGAATAATCTGTATTTTGATTTAAAACCGTCGAGTCTTTGTTCGCAATCAGATATGGAGGGCTCTGAAGATGAAGAAAACCACTGCTGTAGCCTCAATCTCACCAGCCGCTGCTGTAATATGCATGAACTTGCTGTTGCCCCATACTTCTAATATTCCGAGCTATTTTCTTATGACTAGTTAATTAGCTATAGATTAATAAATGTAAAATTCGTTTGAGTAAGTTTATTTCTCTTTAAAACTTGCAATTATAGAAAGGCGAAACGTCACATTTCCTATACGCAATTTTCTTTTATGCATTTGCTTCTGAAATTTAAAATGGTTTTATTAGTAGGATGAGCTGATCAAGAAATGACATACCACTATGAATTCACACAATGTATTGTATTTTTTGATTGCAGATAGTACAGCAATTACATTGACTTTTGACGTTATGCTATATACAACCGATCTCTACTTTATTTCTCAATCTCTAAATGCAACCCTATAAATGGTAACAAATCATGAGTCATTCGTAGGTTTCATTATTTATTATTACATTTCTTTCGTCATACTGCAGCAAAAATGGTTATACGGCCGTTATTATGCACCCGTTGCGAGTCTAAAGTAAATTTAGTTCTATCTAAAATATCAAATTAGAGACAATTTTAATTGTTATAGTTAACAAGACTAAACGAAGCATACCTAAAACACTTTCATTTAGTACTTCCTACTAAACGATACCAAGGTCAATAGAATCGAATAACAAAAAAGCTGAAATGTCAAGTTTTTACCAGTAAAATATTGTAGAATAAGGCTAAACTATTCAGATTGAAACACAATTTGCCTTATTTTACAACGAAAAATCATTATTTTTCAGCTGTTTATGTTATTCTATCTTTTTGAACTTATTTTCTATAGACACATCCATTTCCCTTGAGTATTTATGCAACTGATACCCGTAGTTTCTAATAATTTAAATTTACATTTGGTTCACAAGTTTGTTTTTCAACACCAAAATATCTAAAAGCAACCCCCTTATGCTCTTATCTTATGCTGGGGATAAGAGGCCCGTCTATTAAAGTGAAATATTAAATACTGAATTGACAATTTTCTTTCCACATGAGACGGCAATTTAAAAGTTGGAATTTCGCGAATGATAATACTTTGACTGGAGTTTCTATTTAGTGAAAGTTAATTACATTATTCCCTTTTGTCGGAAGCACAAAGCCTGGACTGAGAGCTGCGGTGTTGTGGCTGACCGCACAATAGCAATGCATATTATAACGCTACACACGGCTTACCGACCACCACCACACTGTCACTTGCCACTTTACCACTTGCCGCTTCCGAACTGTTAAACAAAACCATCAACTGATGCCCAGCACAAGTGGAAAAGTACCCATTGAGTAGGGCAATAACTATGCTAAACCAGTTACAATAGGTCTAACGTTGAACAAGACAACGACTACCTTATGTTGTTCGAAATGGTATATTTCGTACCTAGGCCCGAAAATGGGGGTTTTCCGGCTCGAGGTAGTTTTTTTTTCAGTACGAGACGAAGTCGAGAACTTATTTTTCCTACAGTTACCTAACAACGTACATGTTCTCTCACTGATTTAAGAAAGCAAAGTGGCCAATTTGCTCATCAGTGTGACAATGTTAACATTGTCTCACTCTAATTACTTTGTCTCACTCCAGATTTGCAACGTGAAGGAACGAAATAGTGAGCGCGTAACATGCAGGCAACGTCGTATGCGCGCGAAATACGTTGGCAGCACTGGCTGTAAATCAGCTGGTCAGCTGTTGTACTGATGTATTTGTCACCTTACATTAAATGTTATATTAAAAGTTCACTTCTGTGTAAAAATAGGTCATGTTTCTTCACAAATTTATTTGTTTTATGGTAACTGTAGGAAAATTGTAATGTTCAACTCGAGTGCAAAGTACAATTGCCTCACTCGAGAAACCATTCCTCACTCGCCTACGGCTCGTGATTAAGGATTTCTCTCGAGTGAGTCAATTGCTCACTTTTCTCACTAGTTGCACAAATAACTATTTTATTGTATTTTATAATTTTTTAGTATACTATGGATAGCTTGTTATAAACACATGTTACAAGTCTTTTGTTTCATTCTCCTTAATATTTTGTTCCATTAGCATAGTTAACTGGCAACCCATAAGGCCAATGACAAAACTTTTTAACGGGTTCCGTAGAGAAATACGAATTTTTCCAAGGTAGTGTCTTTCGTCAATCGCGTATTTAGGCTA